AGCTGAGGTTGAAGGCGCCTGCTTTTTGTAGCCACGGTTTGCCCCTGTGCTTGCTTGGGGGTTGGTTCGACTGCGAAGCTGCACTTTCCCGCGCTCCAGAGCCCGAGGAGACATGCGGAATCTGCGGAATCTGCTCTTTTCTTTGCGCAGCCTTGGCCATAAGGCGGCTTAAGCGCAGTCAACGCTGGCGCGACCGCACCCTCAAAGATTCACCGGCATCAATTGCAACGTGAAGCATCGGATTCCAAGGTCCGTACTATGGACGACTGGTCTGGGCCCTTAGCCTGGAGGACACGACACAAGTCTTCCCAATTCGGTGCCCCTTTTGGCTTGTGGAGAAAACCTTGGTTCCAAGATTGCGCCCTTGCTTGTTGCAATGTTTTGCCAGCATTTGGGCAGCATGAGGAAAGGGCACCGAATTTCGGGCCCTGGCCTCCAAAAATGCACCGGCTCATGCTTTGCATACCCAAACCGCCGTACGGAGATCAACTCGGTACAGAGTCAGAGCGAAATGAGAAATGGCTTGATTGGTTGCGTAGAAGCTGATGTACTAGATGTAAGCAACATGTAGGTTTGCCCAGAAAAAGGGGGCCCACAGTAAGGGAGGCATAGTTCGGTTCAATATGACAAGTTGCCTAGCCAACTGCAGATCCTCCAGCGTGCATCCTGACAGACCTGCACGTCCGTGACGCAAGCGAGAGGCTGAAGAGCACTTTGCACGGCCTTGCCTTCGACGGAGCTGGTTTGAAAGTGCACTTTCAATCGCCACGGAGGAGCCACGTGCAATCACTGGAATCTGTGGAAACTGCTCTTTCCCTTGCACAGCCTTGGCCAGAAGGCGGCTTCAAGTGCAGTCCCCGTGGCAGCGAGGAGATTCACCAGCGTCGACAGCAATTTGTAGCGTCGGATGGCCTAGCCAACTGCGGCTCCTCCAGCATGCGGCTTGCACCAGCTTGCCCCATAGCATGTCCCCCGTTGACCCGTCGGAAGTCGTGCCTGCAGGGCACGCTGCGAGACCTGTAACTGTAGGCCCATGGCGTTGCCCAGAGAATTTGCTCTTAAGCATGAAACAGCATCATCGACATCGCTGCAGGATGCTTGCAGGGTGCTCAAGTGCGGCTATGGTGGCTCTATCATGTACGTGCAACACCCGTTCTTGTGCAATCAACCACCTCTTGCGCAGTTTCCCGCATTCCCGGGCCAGGTTGCCACGCATCTCAGAGCAGGTGCCAAGGAGTGCCTTGTGCACCTACGGAGAGGTAGCCGTGGGCGGCGTGACACTTGCTGCGTGGAGCTGTCTGTTCATGCTCACTGACAGCGAGGTGTAGCTGGTGTGTAGCTGGTGTGTAGCTGTGGCAGCGGTTGCAACCAAATCGAGAATTGACCTCAGAACCCTACCACAGCCATGTTCAGGATGCTGGATGAGGCGGCGGCTGCGCTGTCGAGCAACCCCGCTGATCCTAGATAAATCCCCCTTCCTTCCGGGGGGTACTGTCCATCCGCCCAATTTTCGGCGCGGTTCTGGACCTACTTGTACCAGCAGCCCAGCATAGGGGGCTGTTCCGAGTTTGTGAGCGTGTCATGCATGCGCTGTGTGTTGGTCCAGTGGTTTACCTTCCTCCAAACGCGTAGCCGTGTAGCTCTGCGCGAATAGGTCCAGACCTCCGTGTTCCCCTCTGGGCGGAAGAGGGTGATTTGGAAGCTAACTGGCCGCTGCAGTTTTGCAAGCGCAAGGCGGACAGGCATGCCGCAGGCATTCGGCACCGTGGCAGCCACAGGCTGGGCCGTTGGGGCCATTGTGACATGGGGTCGGGCAGCTTGCCTGCGTGCCCTGTCACGTCTGCCACGCTGTGTCGGCTCCGTGTTTGTGATGGAGCCGATAGGGCTTTCCTGGCCGCCGCGTGCAGCTTGTGTGACATGTAGGGCGGAGCGAGCAGGGCACGCTAGAGGATCTGCTATACAGGCGTCTACGTACCTTCGAGTCTTTAGAACGTGGCTGCCAATGCTGGAGAACACTACCCGGCATCGCGGCAGGTGTCAGCCATGGACCAGCGAAGCAAGGGTGAAGAGCGCACGTAGCTCTTGTGGCTATTGTGATCTGTTGTGCACCTACGGCCTACGGAGCATATGTGAGCATCGTGGAGGTGTGAAGTGTTTGCTCATGCCTGATAGCGCAGTGTAGCTGCATGCGGTGAAGACAATGACATGCCTTCCCCTACCTTGTGCATCGTCATCCATACTCGTGTGCGAGACTCGCTGCCCTGTTGAGCGATTAACGCTGGAGTGATGCGACCGCGACCTTTTAGGGTCAGCGCCGGTGGCTGCAGATAGGTCGCGAGAGCCCGAAACTCAGGTGAAGAGTGCACGCGGCGAGAGCGTCCGGCGTACCTGCGCAGGAAGCGGTGGAGCTATCTCAGCGTGGAACGAGGTTTGGCGAGTCTAGCGGTGTGCGCATAGCATGGAGCGGCTGCAGTTTCCCTGCACTTGTCTGCAGAAGCTTCGCTGGCCCATCAGCTACCGGTGCATTGCAGGCTTGCCAGGTGACGCGTTTGCCCGTGGGGGCAACGCATGCAACTGCAAAGGAGCAAGCGATGCGGATATGTCGGCGAGAACCAAAGGGCACTTGCTCACATCGTCACTTGCCTTCTCAAGCGCACAGGCACAATTGCAGCTTCACCGTGCCGATGTACGTGCAGCGCAGCTCCGGCAGCCCAACTAACATGACCCCAACTTGGAGGATACGTGGGATCCGCTTTGGCGCCTTTCTAGTTGCAGAGGAGTCCGGCTGACTGCTCAGACTGTTGAGTTCAATTGGAAATTGCAGCATCTATACTCCTGTGATGGCACGATGTGCATTCATTCGAACCGAATCTCGAGCTGGCCTCAAAACCCACTGCTGCCAAGTCAAGGGCGATGGGAATGCCATAGACCCTCTGCGCACTGGCAGCGTTCGCGTGTTGGGTCGCTGCCTCGAAGGCGGGAGAAGGCTGCTGGCAGCTTCGCCATGTGCACAAGCCAGCCAGCGTGCTGGCTGCAGGCCAGGGAGCCATCCATGTTGCACATTTTTGGAGTCGTGCGAAAACATTCGGTACATAGCGAGAGCGCATTAGATCCCTCAATAGCAATCGGAGTTCATTGCGCTTGTGTGTGTGTGTGTGTCATAAGAATCGGGAAGTTTTTCGACTGCTAGTGTCTTGTGGTGAAGAACGCTGTGCTAGCATTGGCATGATGTTACTGTAATCGACAATGCTTGTGTGTGCCCGCGGTGATAGGGGGTACAGTTCTGCAAGCCATTGCAGTGTTTCGAGGATCCGGAGAAGTTCCCTCTCCCATGACATTCGTGAGGGAAGTCCAGGTGCAGCATGCAACTCACGTGCTGGCTGCATGCCGGGAGATATCGCCCGTCGCCAGTGAGGCATTATCGCCTGCTGCTCTGCCTCCTCGCAGAAGTTCCTTCCGATGGGTGCACGGATTGCATCCCACTGTGCCTAGACTCAAGCGGAACATCTCCTGAGTCTGGTTTTCCAACCCCGGCGTGGTTCTGGACCTACATGTACCAGTATCGGGTGTTGTTCGAGTTTGTGATGTGCCTGTCATGCATGCGCTGTCCAGCAGCCCTGGTGGTTGATTTTCCTCCAAACGTGTAGCCGTGTAGCTTTGCAGAAATTTGTCCAGACCTCTGTCTTCCCTTCCGAGCGGAAGAGAAAGGTGAATTGGAAGCTAACCCGCTGCAACTTCCGTCTCGCAACCTCAAAAAATGAAACCTCGTCTGTCCACAACCTGCTTCTGATGCTACCGACCCTGCAATCATCGATGGGCGCGTGTTCACATCGTCGTCTGCCGCCTCAAGCACACAGACACGCTGGCAGCTTCACAAGCCGATGTAAGTGCAGGGGGCAGTCCCTTCGGGCCGAGGATGAGAATGTCCCTCTCTCCCTCAAGCTCTGCGCCACAGAGATGGTCGAATTTCGACCCTGAGAGGTTCAATGCCAGCCCCGGCAGACCAACCAAGATGACCCCAACTTGGTGGGCGCCTTTCTTGTTGCAGAGGTGTCCTGCAGACTGCTGCGCTCGATTTGATCTCAAAGCACCTCCCTGTGATAGCACTCGGCGCATTCATTCCAACCCAAATACGATTGCGAGTTGGCCTTAAAATCAAAACCCACTGCTGCCAAGTCAAGGGCGATGGCGATGCCACAGACAGTCTGCGCACTGGCAGCGTCCACGTGTTGGGTCGCTTCCTAGAAAGGCGGGAGAGAACGATGCCGGCAGCTAACTTGTGCACAAGCCAGCAAGCGTGCTGGCTGCAGGCGAGGGAGCCAGCCACTTCCGCACAGGACCAGCAATAAGCTGTTGGGAGCGCCAATGCGGTGTGGTGAAAAAGTTGTGCCAGTGTGGGCAATATGTTGCTGTACGCGACAATGCTTGTGTGTGCCGTGTGCCCAGTCATAGGGGTGCAGGTTGCAAGCCGGTACATTGTTTCGAGGGTCCGAAAAAGTTCTTTTCACCGAAACCATTCCTGAGGATCGTCAATCTGCGGCGCGCAGCGCACGTGCTCGCTTCTTGCCGAGAGACATCGCCAATTGCCAGTTTGGGCAGCATCGCCGGCTTGCTTGCGTCTCAGGAGTTCCCGAAAGGACTGCAGCGGCTTGTCCAGGCTGTGGTGCGCGGCGGGCCAGCCTGCAACGTGGTCACCGTGGTCACCTGTGGCGGCACCCTGCTCATTGCACGGTCCAGCGCAAGCAAGCTTCGACTCGGCTGGTTACATTCTAGAGTCAGAGGGCCTGTGCTGTGTCCATCCCTTGGACATGGAAAGGTTCTACTCAGTTTTCAATCTTCCACGCAGCCATCATGCCCAGCATGACATAGTCTTGGCTTGAGAGAGGAGTGGCCCGTCCACGTTACATCGCAGTCTTCACGAAAGCTGGCTAAAAAAATGTGCGTAGTGATGCAGCGGCTCTTCTGCACGAGATGAAGCTGTTGGGAACACCAACGTCTTGTCAGGAGTGAGCTGGGCCAGTTTTGGCACGATGTTGCGCACCCACGCAATGCTTGTGTGTGCCCGCAGTTGCAGTGTTTCGAGGGTCCGAAAAAGTTCCCTGGCCCTCACCCATACCAATCCTGAGGATAACACCAAGGTGCGGCAGGCAGCGCACTTGATTGCTGCATCCCGGCAACAACTGCCAGTCGCCAGTGTGCGTGGCAGGACCTGCTTTACATCTTCGGAAGAGTCCTTCCCGCTTGGTGGACGGGCCGCGTCCCACTGTGCCAGGGCTCAAGAGGAGCATCCTCTGGTTGTCCAGCACCTTACTTTCGGGTGCATGCCACATGTTGTCCAACTTGGAGAGCATGAGCAGTAAAGGTATTGTCCAGTCATGAGCATGCCCATCACCCATCAGCGGTCGAGCCTTGGTTCATACGACTGGCCTGGAAGTCTTGCATTGCAGTTGGGTTCCGGACATTCGTGGAAATGCTCGACAGCGCGACCCCATCAGGAGTAAGCAGCTTCCCACCTTTTGTGAGATGTTCCCTTAAACTCGTTCGGGGTACGTATTGCTCTTTCTTCTCTCTCACATGTCATGCACGGGACGCCTCATCGTTAATGCAGTTTGCGGGGTTGGGCGTTCCTTCCAGGAAAGTGGCTTTCCACGCAGCCATCATGCCCAATGTGATATAGATGGCTCGAGTTCGCTGAGTGGCCCGTCCATGTTGTTGCATCCTCTGCTGCGTGAACCTGTTCAGAAGTACGTGCAGTGCTGCATGCAACAGTTTTGCTGCCAGATGCGCGATTGTGGCATGGAAAAGCTCTTAGGAGCACCAGGCCAGTGTTGGCTTGATGTCGCTCTGAGCCTCCGCAATGCTTGTCTGCGCCCTCGGTAGCAGTACAGGTTTGCAAGCCATTGCAGCGCTTCGAGGGTCCGAAGAAGTTCCTTCCATTTGCCAGCCTTGGCGGCCCTGTTTCTTCACATCTTTTGAGCTGCCGGCCAACCTGCAACGTGGTCGCCTGAGGTGGCGCCCTGGGCCGTGCATCACGCCGCGGCCGGTGGTGGGAATTTCTGGCAGCAGGTGCTACTCAGCATTCAATTCAAATAAAATCCATCATGCCCACCTAGCCTCCAAGGCCTTGCAGGTGCTTGGGCAGGTGCTTGGGCACAGATCCCTGTGACGGGATGAATTCCTCCCACTTCACCTGAGGCTGAGGCCAAAGCGCATGCTTCAGCCCATGGCAGCCCGCACCTCACAGCGCCTCCCTCCTGGCTTTGCTTCGAGGGGGACGGGCCCATGTTTGGACTCCTCATAGCGGAGCCCGGTGCCTGACGTTCTGAGACACGCCGACCGCGACTGATGCGACTGCATATGACTGCGCCTTCCAAGGTGAGCGTGGTGCGCGGGGCGTGGCAGCGCGATGTTGCCAAGCTAAATTGACGCCGAGCGGGCTTCCCGGCCCAACCAAAAGTCGTACCCCTTCTTCCTGCAGGCTGTGACTCACGAGACGGATGTCTCTTTGCAATCGGATGCTGCTTCTCGTGGTGCTTGCTGCTAGCGGTGCTGCCGCCCACGCATGTGCCCTGGTTGGCCCTCCCAAAGTCAGCGACGGCCATGCCGGGACCTTGTGCGGCAGCATCAGCAACTCGCAGCCGGCCGGCCGGATTGTGATAAAGGTGGCAGGTGGCAGGCGGCAGGCGGTTGTGGCCTCCTGTTTGTTTCTGGCCATGACATGCTGAACTCGTGCTGCCGGCCGGCGGGCTGCGCAAGAGCGCCGTGTTCTGTGTTGAAGTGCCTCGAGGACACACCCTTGGGTGTGGCTCAACAATTCATTCAGGGCAATGTGGCAGGCTCCATCAGGCTCCGGGCCAAGTGCGAGATGTCTGTTGGCTTGAAGCACAGATGTCTTTGCGACAAACCCCTCTCCACGATAAGTAGTGACAGAGCGGTATGTTCTTCGCAGCCACCTGCAACAGCCTCCTGACTATGCAACGGCCTCATGGTGCGTGCATCAGGGGCGAGCACAGCGATGGTGGCATCAAGGTGCTCATGAAACGAGATCGGCAACGGCCTGGGCCGTTCTAGTCTCCTGCCCTTGGCTGGCAGTCCAATCAAAAAAGGCCTTCTTGTGCCCTGAATTTGGGTAAGTGCTCAAGGTAGCCTTGGCCCATCTTTTAGGGTCATTCTTCTGGGGGTCTAGGGCAGAGTGATCGATGTCTGAAGAGCCCAAAGCCCAGCCCAATCATGCCAAACCTTTTCGCCCTAAGCCTCAATCGGGGAATACGTAGATGCGGACTCTTAATATTAAGCATGATAGTCATGAGTCATGATGATGCCGTCGAAGACCTCCAACAGTAAGTTTGCGCAGAAGCCGTTTGAAACAATGATGCGACCGAAGGCGGCATGTCTCCGTCCCAGAAAAATATCGAGGAATCCAGTAACCAGCCCAACCTCGCGCTTCAATACGATGAGTGTTCGGGGCACGAAAATTGCACATGTGGCGCGCCCCGGGATGCATGTCCGATCGTGGTTGGTCGCAAGACACCCATCTAGATCTGAGTTTTGGGTTTGGTTTGGTCTCGTTTCGGAACCGATCATGCAACACAGAAAACCCAAGAGACATCGCTCCGGCTTTCGGCCTCACAGTGCCATGCTTTCATCCTGCACACTTTGGGGGGGAAGACAGCTGAATGCATGTAGGCACAGGCCAATCATGCCTTCGTACTCTTCCTGCTCCCGAGGCCTCTTTGTTTGTTAGGTCTAGGTGGTTGATTTGGAAGGAGCCAGCTGCCAGAAAGTACCCAGCCAGCCTCCAAGATTGCATTTGGGCATGTTTCTTGTCATTCTGGACCCTTCCTGCGAAACGTCGAAATATTTCAGAAAGATCATCGTTCCTAAAACTCTTTTCCTATACAGGCTCAAGAGAAAATCGAAGACTCCATGAACCGGCCCCAAACCGCGGACTTCAATACGATGAGCTGCTGTTGCCAGATACATTCGTCGGGCAATACTTTTTGGGAACATTCTGTCAACTCTTGGTACATATCCCTTAGAAGTCTTTGAGGAGGCTTGCGTTGAAAAGAAGGCCTAAACGGACCCTGCCATCTTTAAGTGCGATCAGACTGCGTGACGAGTTGTCGAATAGATGAAATTCCTCCATGTTGGAAGTGTCTCAAAACCATCTTAGACCAACTTATGTTTGAATCAGTACGCACTTGTTTTTCTCCAATCCTCGAGAATCTCAAGAATCTGGGGAACATGCGAATGTTCCGTGTGTGAGCATGTATACCGTAATCTTCCTGGTCCACGACGTCGCGCGCGCGCGCCGTGCTTCGAGGATGTAGGGGGAGTGGCTCTTGATGCTTGTGGTGCGTTCTTCATGGAGCTTTGGCTCGCAGTACCAGCGTCGGTTCTAGCAGACCGGACCCCGAGCTGAGCAGAGCCAGCCGCTTACTCCCCATGGTGTGTCAGGCGCGGGGACTCCGGGGAGATCAGGAGTTCCAGACGCCCACATTGGCAACGGGCAAGAGTGTTGTTACAAGTAGGGGGTTGCAATCCTGAGCTGGTCATTGTCGTTGTTGGTTTGCCCTACTCTGGTCGTGAGAAGGTGGCTGAGAAGTTCAAGGTTTCCGGATCTGACCTAGCATTGCATCTTTGGAATTCGGCATGATTGGAGTGGTAGGGAGTCTGAGGAATCAGTACTGTTGCGGCGGCAGCCAAAGTGCCCATCGTTGGCCAAGAATCCATGTAAACCCAATACAATTCTGAAATAATGTAAGAAGATGTAAGAAGTAAGAATACGCTACAAGTAAATCAATACAGTATGTTTACACATTGCGTCCAGGGGGGAAGGGGTTGAATCGACCAGAAACCGAAGCCGCTTCGCGAAGCCGAATTAGTGCTTAGAGAGCCCAGTCGGCGAAGCCGAATTAGGAGGCGAAGACGCATTGCGAAGCCGCAGTAAGTGAGAAGACGCTTTGCGGCGAAGACGCATTTGCGATGCTGAATTAGGAAGACGCATAGGCTGCCAAGCGAGGCGAAGACGCATTGCGAAGCCGCAATGCGAAGCAGCGTTGCGAGGACAAAGGCCGGGGCGGGCGCAAACCGCATTGCAAGGCCGCGTTGCGGACGTCTACTGAGCTATCTTATTTTAGATGATGCTTCGTGGTGCCTTGAGACAGCTTCCACAAGAACTGCGCGCGCTTGTCCTCGATCCCCGAGACCGCCAAAAATCGGCGGCCGTTCGGGCACTAGTGACAAGAAACCCGTAGTGCGCGTCACAGCGTTTTTTCTATTTGGTCCACATTTGACTTGAAAAGAAGGCTGCTATGCTTCCCGAAGCCTCTTTTCTAGGGAAGCCTTTTTATGGTTCCAACAGCTGCTCTCCAAGACGCTCAGTCACAAGTTGAAGCGACACTGAGCCAGTCCGACAATAAATACGCTCACTAAGCTAGTTTGTGGGAACAATCAGTGCCCAAGTGACCGCCGACTCTTGGCAACCTTGGGAGTTGGTCGCTGGGGCACAAATTCAACAGCAGGCTCCGAAAGCTGTTCTAGTACAGGCCCCAAAATGGCTACGCTACCCCAAGCCATCCTGCTGGTGGCGCGTTATAGGAACTAATTCGGCGTCAGGGGGTAATTCCGACGTCAAGGAAAAATTCGGTTGCCACAATTCGGCATCAGGGGCTTAGTCGGCTTCATAATTCGGCATCAGGGGGTTATTCGGCTTCACAATTCGGCGTCAGGGGGTGCGTTCGGCTTCACGCCGTATAATTCAAGGTCAAGGGACAAGTCGGCGTCACCCCACCAATGCGGCGTCAGACCATGTGGCGTCACAATGGGGCGTCACCTACAGCAATGCAGCTTCACTAATTCGGCTTCGGCTTCAGGTCGATTCAACACCCCCTTTTCCCGGGCGCCCTGCTATCTCAAAAAAGAACATCACAACCGATGTGAGAGAAGTTTAGGGGCTTGTGCTGTGTGTGAGGCAGCCGGACACTTTGATCGCCGGAGGCCGTGGGCTTTGACACAGCCGATCCTGATGGCGAGGCTGGGACTACGCTTCGCTGTAGAAGCCAACCTGACGCATTTCCAACGTGAGGTCGAGGTGGCAGAGTGGCGAGGTTGCGGCTCCGGCCCCCGCTAAGCTACCAGTAGGCCCCCCACGATGTGGGAATTGAGCCACAGCCGCAACCCCGCATTCTGCCTCGGCACCCTCAGATCTCTCATCATGCCTGCAAGCCGGCAGCTCCCAAGAGGCATGCGTGTGCGTGCAGCCACTTCTCAGAGGTTGCGCGCGGCTGCGCGTTGCACTCATTGCCCTCAGAAAGAAAAAGGTCGTGTCGCCAGCGCGTTTCTGCTTTGACAGCAGAGGCTCCTCTAGTGCCAGGAGCAAGGGTCGCAGTCTTTA